AAAATATAAAATCCCGAAAAAAAAAAAAATTGCTTTTACATTCCTCGTTTCATTCTTCAACGTCAGTATACCAATTTTGCGTGTCGACCCCGATGAACTCGGTCAATTACGGCGTTTCTTCACGAAGATGTTTGGGAAGAGACGCTTTCCGCGTCTCCCTCGTGTATCCTTCCTCCACGAAACGCGCTCCGGAAACGATGAATTTGCGAGTCTCAGGGGTGGATAATGGCTGATGCGGTACACCGTTGTAAAGCCGAAAGGGGAGGGGGGAGGGGGTGAGAAGGAGCACGGGGTGCGCGGTGACTCGGGCGAATTTGTGAAACGATTATAGAATCTGTCCGAGCGCGCGTACTCGAGGGAGAGGAGGAAAAGGCGGACGAGGAGGCGAGGGGGGGGGGGGAAACTTTGAATGCCGGGGATGGGGATCCCTAGGAACAACCCTCCGCTTATTGTTGCTCTCTTCACGCCGAATGAGTTTCGTATGACGACGAAATGGCTCGTCGCGAACGATGAACAGGCGAATTTTCCCTCCCACGCGTAATGACGGATGCACTTTGAATGCGGCATTAACGAGCAATTAATGATAGCGTATCTTTTCGCGGCAACAATAATTCATCGTGATGTCAGCGTTTCTCTGTTGTACATGGACGATATTTTTTTTACAAAATCACGATTCGGAACAAAGAAGGAAACGATGCAGAATTTTCCATACGTGTCTCTATTTTTGTGCTGGATCACTTGTTGTGGCAGACTCTCGACTTTGTAAGAAAAAAGGGGGTTTAATTTCAACTGGGATTATTTTTTTAATTAATGTAAATTACGTCTGAAATAAAAAGTATTTCTTTTTATTAAATCACAGCACTGTTTATTGCACAGATAATTAAATTGTAATTTAATTTTATCAAAGCAGGATGTTTGCTCTCTGGAAAAACATGGAAAAATCTGAAATTATCAAAGATTTTTCTTGCACTTGAAAAAATTAGGATCTCTCTCATAGAATTTTATTGAGGCTCGGAAAATTTTTGAAATTGTTTTTCTTTCATGAATGAAAAACCTTAGAAAGCGCATAAAAGTATTTTATATTTTATTTTATATAATGTATTATTTTATTATATATAATTTTAATTTAATTAATTCTTTTATAAATTATTAATATTCTTTTATATTATATATAATAAAAGTATTTTATATCTTATTTTAGAAAACTGCATCAAAAACTTTTTTAAATATTCTCTTTATCTGGAATTTTGAAAAATACCTAGAAAATCAGAAACTTATCAACGAATCTTTGCACAAGATATAAATAGATTCCTAAGGTATTATTTCTCCAATTAATTAAAATTAATCGAGATTTTTAATAAAAATAATCACATAGAAATTTGAGAGTCGAAAGAAATATATTTCGAAGTAGATGTATCTAGAGATTATTTAGGGACAAAGAGATATATTAAGATGCACAAAATAAAATACGCGACATATGTACGGGGGATGCAATTGCCGGGGAAAAAATATAATTACCTTTGTTACAGCAATCTAAAACACCATGTAACCCGTGATTCGATCGCGTATATATCCAACTCGGCAGCCATAGATAACATCGTCCTAGTTCAGTCCACCGGAAACATAATTGCGATTTATGCTCGCTATTGTTCGAGGGGAACCGTCTGCTCGCTCTTGGCCCCGTCGAGACACATTTCAAAACTCCCGAATGACTATAGGAAAATCTTGAATCCGCCCCAAGTTGCACGCGCCCTCCTCTTCCCCTCTGTGCGAGCCGGAAATGATGAATTTGCGAGTCTTATCGCGAGGACGGAACGACGCGGGGGCGACAAATAAATAAGCTGTCCTTTCGAACGGAAAGACAACGCTCCGAGGGACGTAATCCTTCGCGATTCATTATCTCTTTCTCTTGATTATGAAATCTCTCATCGGAAATGACGGGGAGAAGCGACATCGCGAGAGCAAAAATAGATCTGTCGGCTCACGAGCAGCTGCTCGAAATTACACTCCTTTGTAGGAATTTGGGCATCTCTCGATTAGACCCTCGTGCGATCGGGGAGGTCGATAGCGGAATCGAAAGGATCTTCCCCTCCCCCGAGAGCCGGGGGTTGGAATCGTTAATCAAACGATCGCGACTGTTGATTGCGACTATCGCGCATCGGCTGGAGACAATTAGCAAGGATTGCGGGGGGGGGGGGGGGAGTTTTAAGCACATTCTCGCCATTCCCGGCTCCAAGTTTAAGCAAACTCCGGCGATGCAAATGCCAGGGGCGTTAAGCGAGCGTTGCAGCGTCTTATCATCATGCCGCCCCCCTCCCCCCCCCGCGCATCCCCCCCCCCCGATACGTACCTTCGAACCGTTACCCCGTTCGCGAAACTTATCGCAATTTGCAAGCTCGACTTCTTAACCTGCGAATTTTCCAGAAAATGAAGAGAGAAGCTCTCGGTATCTACCGGGCGTAACGTCGAGACGTAAATGTTACTTTCCGCATCACAGCGGACAGTCACGTAACGGATATTAATATTTACAGCTGAACTTGGTAATCTAAAGAGGCCTCGTTTTATCAACGCTTGAGAGAGAGAATTAAATTATTAAATATATTTATTATTTATATATTTATCATTTATATTTATAGAATTAAATATATTTATGTTTATTTATAATCTCCTAATTAAAATGAATTCGGCCGAGTTAAAATTTCGTGCTTTTGTTTATATAAAAGGCATGGTTTGTAGCGCGATATTTTTTGAAAAAGATGCTGAGATAGATGAATAAATTGCGTGAAATTACTCGATGCTTGATGCGTCGATTAAGAGGATTGTCGTGTCCTGCGTAATAAGATTGCATAAAACGCTCCGACTTATGTAAGGATGTCGCACAAAAGCGGCTTAACTCCTCTCCCCTCTTCTTTTCCCCTCTCCACCAATATTTGCGAGTGAAATCCTTTAATTGACCGCACGCAAGAACTCATCATCCCGATGAATCTTGGGCCAATTAAGGAAGTTTGTCCGTTAGGAAGGCTTGTAAAACCTTTCCGCGTCCTTGCACCCGAACCGTTGGAGGAATTAAACGACCCGGATTCCGTAGGAGTGTTATTTCCAATGAAATAATAATTTCGCGTAGATTTGACTAAAGATAACGATGCATTAAAATTTAAGCAATTAAAATAAATGACAATTTATTTAAAAATAAGTTTGGACACAAGCTAACATAATATCCATGAAAATATTGTACTGATATTGAAAATTTTCGGAAACAAATTTTATCAAAAATCTCGTCTTACACATTTTCTTGTCTTAATCTTATTAATAATTTTTATCTTAAACATTTATAATTTTAAATAGAAATAATTCTCTTCTCGTTATATTTTCATCTCGTTTTATTGGCATCTATTTTTTCGAAATGATGAATTATTTTTGGAAAAGGAAAGAAGGAAAAGAGTAAAAATTGGAGATAACTTAGAGTTATTATTGAAAATTCGGCAAGTGAAAAATAGAAGCAGACATTCGCTGACGGAATAATTCGCGTAAATTATGACAAATTTTTACATTCGCAGAAATATTCCACTCACTCGTTGTCACTCTCGTAATATTCGCCAATAGCGGTTCGTGCGCATACATACGGAAGGGACGAGAGAGAGAGAGACTTTTTCCGGCCGGCAAATTGCGGCCGTTTCAATTCTGCTGCGACTATTGTCGATTATACGGTTCAGACTCGCGCCAGCAGCTCGGGCGTCAGCGCAAAACCGGTCCACTCTCGCGAATCCCCCGGCTTTTTTAATCCGCATTCAATTATTCTCGCAGTATCCACCGCGGTTTCAGTATTTGCGAGATCAACCGTTACGTAGCGACGCGCGTGTGGAAAGAAAAAAAGAATTATTTAGGCCAACTAGGGTCTAACTCGTGTTTCGATCTTTCTTTTTTTTTCCTTCGCTAACCATTTGATCTTTTTTCCCACGCATTTTCGAGACAGCGCGCGCGTTGTCAGAATTTTGACAATCAGCTGATGATCAGCTGATTGTCAAAATTCTGACTACGCGCGCGTGGAAAGAAAAAAAAAGAATTATTTAGGCCAACTAGGGTCTAACTCGTGTTTCGATCTTTCTTTTTTTTCTTTCGCTAACCATTTGATCTTTTTTCCCACGCATTTTCGAGGCAGCGCGCGCGTTGTCAGAATTTTGACAATCAGCTGACGATCAGCTGATTGTCAAAATTCTGACAACGCGCACGTGGAAAGAAAAAAAGAATTATTTAGGCGAACTGGAGTCTAACTCGTGTTTCGATCTTTCTTTTCTTTCCCTTCGCTAACCATTTGATTTTTTTTCTTACGCATTTTCGAGGCAGCGCGCGCGTTGTCAGAATTTTGACAATCAGCTGACGATCAGCTGATTGTCAAAATTCTGACAATGCGCGGGAAAAAATCGACGGATACAATTCCGTTGTTGCTCTCGTTAATTAAAGCGAAACGAAAAATTGGACGAACTCTTGGTCAATCGATGGATATTAAATCCCCGTAGTTAACCATAAATCAACGCTCCTCCGCGCGTTACGAAACTCGCATACCTAACGTGATAGAATCCCGTCGCAGCTGACTCGCCGTAAATTCGATAATGATTTCCCATGTTATTTCCATTCGTCAGGTAGAAGGCTTCACGTACGCCAAGTTAGCGAGCTAATGAGCTCGCCGAGTTGGCACAAAGAGAGAGAGAGAGAGAGAGCAACCGTGGACGCGAGTGTGCACATCTATTCTGCATTACGACGCTGATGCAGCTCGCGTCCGGATGACGAGAGGAGGAGGAGGAGGAGGGGTAGATCACGGAGAGCGTTTCCCAGTTAGGGCAATTCCGCACTTTCGCCCGGCCCGCAATTAATTAGCTCAATTCCCGCTTCCTGTTATGCCTGTCCGTCGCGCCGCCACGTCGGGCGCCCATCGCGCGCATTCCGACGACGACGACGCACGCATTCCGTTGTCATAGTTGACGCACGCACCTCGGAAGCGTCCCCGAAGGCGTTACGCGAAGCGAAGCGACCATGGGCGCCGAGACGACGTCGCTCTGCCTCTCCGTCTTGTGTATTTACGTGATGACGGCGCCGCCGCCACCCCCGCCGTCGCCGGCGACGACGTCGTCTCGTCCCCCCCGCGTGGGTAAGGCCGCAATTGCGCGGGTTCATCTCCTCGAATTTTCAAGCAATTAATTTTATTAAAATAAAAATCAATTTTAATCAAATTAATTTTTATCTCCTATTTATCTTAATGAAATTAACATGAAGGTGTGACACGAGCAAAGGTGAAAGTGTATTGCGAGAAACTGGTGTATTTTTGAATATTAAAAAATGAATTTTATAAGTATGATTGATTCACGTAACAAAAATGTAATAATTTATTTTTTTATAAGAAAAACAGATAATATATAAATTAATTAATTATTTAATTTAAAATTACATGAATTCATTACATTACTATAATTTAATTAAATTATAATGATGTAATAAATTAATGTGTATACTTAATTTATGTTCATCTCCTCGTCTTCGAATTTTGAAGTAATTAATTTTAATAAAATAAATAAAAATCAATTTTAATCAAATTAATTTTTATCTCTTATTTATCTTAATGAAATTAACATGAAGGTGTGACGCGAGCAAAGGTGAAAGTGTGTTGCGAGAAACTGGTGTATTTTTGAATATTAAAAAAAAAATGAATTTTATAAGTATGATTGAGTCACGCAACAAAAATGTAATAATTAATTTTTTTATAAGAAAAACATATAATATATAAATTAATTAATTATTTAATTTAAAATTACATGAATTCATTACATTACTATAATTTAATTAAATTATAATGATGTAATAAATTAATGTGTATACTTAATTTATGTTCATCTCCTCGTCTTCGAATTTTGAAGTAATTAATTTTAATAAAATAAATAAAAATCAATTTTAATCAAATTAATTTTTATCTCTTATTTATCTTAATGAAATTAACATGAAGGTGTGACGCGAGCAAAGGTGAAAGTGTGTTGCGAGAAACTGGTGTATTTTTGAATATTAAAAAAAAAATGAATTTTATAAGTATGATTGAGTCACGCAACAAAAATGTAATAATTAATTTTTTTATAAGAAAAACATAATATATAAATTAATTAATTATTTAATTTAAAATTACATGAATTTATTACATTACTATAATTTAATTAAATTATAATGACGTAATAAATTAATGTATATATTTAATTTATTTATCCACCGTGTAATATTTAATTAATATTTATTATGATAAAAAAACTAAAAGGTGGATACGTGTAAAACTGTGAATTATAAAGATCCCTCATAAAGGAATTTAAAGCGGCATTTTAATTGCAAACGAGAAATTACACGTTCACGGCGAGGCGCATGGGATAATCATCGTTGAAAAAGGGAAGGGAACGCGCAAGTGCGTAAGCACTTTCCTCTCATATTCCTCTCATCTTCCCGGTGTTTTCCTTAGAGGCGATTTGCTGTCATTATCGGTGGGTTACGCGCAATCACTCTAATCGTTGGATCGAGACCGGTGTTTCTCGCCGGCGTCTCTTGTCGAACACGCGAACATGTATCCTCCGATTATAATAACCGTTTGCGGTTTCACTCTTTTGCAGCTTACGCGAAGAACGAGACGCATCCTCACCTGGAGATCCTGCCGAGCGGCGAGACGCAGACGAAGCCGATCGGCTCCAGCATCATTCTCACGTGCAAACCGAAGGCAGTCGACCCGAGTCTCGTCAACCAGATGGAATGGCTGGACCCGCAGAATCGCACGATCGAGTCCCTCCAGTAAGTCGATTACGTCGGCTCTGTTGCTTATAAATGACATTTTCGAAACGCTCGCACCAACGACGTTGCCTCCGTCTGTATTGCAATCGGCTCTCGAGATGACGGCCGCAAGCAATCAGGGATATAAGCTGCGACATGCCGTTGGTGCGACGATGCTGCAATTTTTTTTTATTTTTGTAAAAGAATCTTGTTGAATAATTAAAAGATTAATGAATTTTATTACCTTCTCTTTTTATTGATATTCATTGCTGTCATATCAATCGATTATATATATTCAGATTTAATTAAAATACACTACAGTTTTATTTTATTTGGGGGAGAAAATTTAACGTAGCCGTAATGAATTTAATATTTTATTGACAAGATAATTAAATTTTATTAACTTTCAATAATAAAATACAAGTTGATGAAATCGTTAATTTGTGAACAATTTGATAAATTTTTCATAAAATTTATATTGAAATTAATAACGTTCGAGACCACAATGTAATATTTAAAAATAAAATCATATTAAAAATGTATGGGACCTCTCGATGTTGAAATTAAAGTAGAAATTAATTGAAGAAACTTAATATTTTAGTCTGTTCAACTACTAAATTTCGCATGATTTTAATTTAGATCCAGTATGAGCTATATCAGTTTTTATCCGTAATCGCTAAAATAATTTTATATTAAAGGATTTATTAAATTTTCTTGACGAAATGAATGACATGAATTTAAATAAGGTATTTATTTTTAATACAAGTATTTTTATTTAGATTACTTTGATAAATGAGAGTGTATTATATATTATATATAAATAATGATAAATAATTATTTTATTTTTTATTAATATATAAAATTTAAGATTTTAATTACAATTTTAATTCAACGTATTTAATTTAATTCAATGATTCTTCTAAGAATTTTTTAGATTAAAATATTGAAAAATAATTGCAACTGTATTTTGCACAACTTTGCGGTTTCGATTATGCTCAATTGATGCCAATGATTATAGATAAAAATCATTAGTCAAGAGGCTTTAATTCAACAATATATCGCATTGCGTTTATGCGTAAACAAGAAGGCGTACTTTCACACTAATTTGAGAAATCTTTCTGTCACTTCTTTAACGCAGACTGGTCGTCTTGCCGCTCGAAAGGCGAGTATAAAACCCACTGCAGATTTAAACGTCGCAATCATATAGTAACTCTCGTTCTCTGCACAGTAAAAAATTTTGTGTTAAATTTAACAGATTTCACATGTCTCAATTTATCCACTCTAATTTTAATGTTAATTTAACAGAAGGCAAATATATAAATAAATAACACAAGTAATATGTTTACAAATTAACACAAAAGTATAACACTTCAATTTTATCTGGAAATAAAGTTTATGTTAAATTAACATATTTATATTAAATTGAATTAAAAGAAAATATTATTCTTACATTTTTATGATAAATAACAGAAGAGATATGTCGATTTAACTTATGGAAACTGTTATAGATAGAAAAATAGCATAACTTGTCTGTTCATTTTAATATATAATATATTTCATCAAAAATTCGTGCATTTACATATTAATTGTGTTTTAACTCTTAGAAACGATGAATATTAATTCGCAGAAATGTCAAAATAACGCAACGATAGTATGTTACATTAACATAAGAGTTTAAAAATTTAACACAAAAATTTTTACACGAGAAAATTTTAACAGAAATACAAAATGTTTTTCACCGTGTGCCTCCTACTTTCATTTCTCTCACTCGCGATACATCCACCCTCATTTCGCGTTCGACACCATCATTTTCTCACGATGCAGCCACTGCGTTTTCCCGGTTCTACGCTCTTAATTGCCGTATCGTAGTTCGCGAACTGGCTATCGCTCGTTAAGCCATTCGGAAAAGTTCCGAACGATTCGAACCTGACTTATTGAACGCACGCTCGAAGCGGAAAAGCTCGTTGGCTCGTGAAAGAAAAAAAAAATACTCGTCGGTCGGCGAACGAAATTTTCGTTCGTGTTATACAGAGTGACTTGAAACAATCGCACTTCTCTCCGACGATTCTGTGAAAAATCTTGCCGACTTTGTGCGTTTCGAATGTGTACAAATTAAATTCCTTTTCTAATTCTCTAGATTTTTTTACCAATCCTACTTTATAATTCTCATCGTTGAAAATTTCCCTGAAATTATTTCTCAATGATTTTCGCTGCTTTGCATTTCGCAAAAATTCGTCAAATATTTGAACACTTTTTTAAAATTAATTAATTATATTAATTTTATGCATAAATTATTATTTAAAAAAAAGGAAAATTTATTTGACGTAATAAAAAATACAGAGAAGAGAAATTTTATTCGTTAAAGTCAGTTTGAAGTCTTTTTTTTTTTTTATGTTAACGAGCTCTTTGACTGAACCGAGCGCTAGGAATTAAAAATGAAACATGAACTTTCTGGGACACGGCGTTTATAAACGGCAATTAAGCAGCTCCGCACTGGCGCAGTTCGAGCAAAGATTCCATTTCAAACAGCATTTGCAACATTTGTACATTATACCGTTCCGTGCAAGTCCGTTCGCGATATCGCCAACAGCTAATGTATGTACCGCGCGTTGCTAGCGCTGCAAGTATTTAATCCGGCGATCAAATAATGTTACGAACGTTAACCCCGGTAACTGATTCATCGCGTCGCGTGTTTGCACGAATTACCCCGATTTGCATAATTAAGTACATTCGTCGTCAAGAGTGCCGCGCGTGACATTTCCGGGCAAAATGGTCCCGCAATCGAGTCACTCAATTAAGTTCTCGATAGCGTCCGTTACAAGTTTATTTACGAAAATCGAGAGTGGAGATTGAACAAGGTATTTATTCCTTGGAGAACCTAGAGAGAACCTTGTCAGAGAATCTGAGGTAATTATTTTTATCTGGAAAGAAATCTCAGGAAACTCTCATGGATTCTTATTGGAACTCGGGGAATTTTTGAAGAGACGATTCAGTAATTTATCCATTGGTCAAATTGTGTATTATATATATTTAAAATATAAATTTATAACCATCTTTGTATATTTGATGTCAATTGACAGAATTTGCAGTATTTTTTATTATAATTTTTAGTGATGAAAAAGTAAAAATGTTTATCTTATGAAAGCTATTCGGTTTTCTTATCAATCACATTTTCTGGCACTTGAAACTTTTTATTTTTCCTTTGTATGAGTCGAAAGAATTAAAAAAATTGCATTCGAAAGAAAGAGATCTAAAATAATCTTTTATCCAGAATTTTGAGCAAAAAATCTGAAAAAAATTAGGGAATTTTCAGAGAATTCTTTTACAAGATTTAAGACACTCCAAGCTGGAGAAAATTCACGTGCCATTCATCAAAGCAGAAAAATGTCGGGATAGGAATTTTCTGTCGGGACTTTAGAATAATCGACAGACTGTCACGTAATCTTTCCCAATGACTTTCTCACGCTATCTCCTCTCTGTTCGCAATGCCTTGCGTTCCATTCTACTCGTGCAATCATCATTGTAAATTATCATTATCCGGCTGCTTCGCGATAAATTAATATTTCTCCATCAGGTGTTGTTCGATGCTTCTTATTCAACACGTTTGAAGCGTTATAATCATTTTCCGCTGCATAAGGATGGAATTATGTCGCGGAGCAGCCGTGCCTCTGTCACCTCGAGCCACCTTCATAAACCGCAATATCCATATTCGTAACCTTCATCATCGATGTCGCGCGATATTACATCCAGCATCTCATACTTGCTCGGCGCACTAGATGGAAATTGCTTGAATACATCACATCTCTCACCTGTGCTCGCTATCATCCGCCGATACGTTGCACCGTCCGTACCGTGCAACATTGAATAATACGAGATCACGTGAATGCATCTCGTTGATCGCATCATTCTCACGTCATCCACGAGGGATATCGTTAACGTCACCGCGCGACGCGTGATCGTTATCGATCCCTTTACGTATTGTTGTTTATACAGTAAAAAATTTTGTGTTAAATTTAATATATTTTCTATGTCCCGATTTATCCACTCTAATTTTAATGTTAATTTAACAGAAGGCAAGGATGCAAATAAATAACACAAGTAATATGTTTAAAAATTAACACAAAAGTGTAACGCTTCAACTTTATCTGGAAATAAAGTTTATGTTAAATTAACATATTTATAATGTTAAATTTAATTAAAAGAAGATGTTATTCTTACATTTTTATGATAAATGACAGAGGAGATATGTCGATTTAACATATGGAAACTGTTATAGTTAGAAAAATAGCACAACTTGTCTGTTCATTTTAACATATAACATATTTCATCAAAATTCGTGCATTTACATATTAATTGTGTTGTTTTGACTCTTAGAAACGGTGAATATTAATACAGAAATGTCAAAATAACGTAACGATAATATGTTACATTAACATAAGAGTATGTTAAAAATTTAACACAAAAATTTTTACACGAGAAAATTTTAACAGAAATACAAAATGTTTTTTACCGTGCAATAAAAAATTTGTGTTAAATTTAACATATTTCACATGTCCCAATTTATCCACTCTAATTTTAATGTTAATTTAACAGAAGGCAAGGATGCAAATAAATAACACAAGTAATATGTTTAAAAATTAACACAAAAGTGTAACGCTTCAACTTTATCTGGAAATAAAGTTTATGTTGAATTAACATATTTATAATGTTAAATTTAATTAAAAGAAGATGTTATTCTTACATTTTTATGATAAATGACAGAGGAGATATGTCGATTTAACATATGGAAACTGTTATAGATAGAAAAATAGCGCAACTTGTCTGTTCATTTTAACATATAACATATTTCATCAAAATTCGTGCATTTACATATTAATTGTGTTGTTTTGACTCTTAGAAACGGTGAATATTAACGCAGAAATGTCAAAATAACGCGACGATAATATGTTACATTAACATAAGAGTATGTTAAAAATTTAACACAAAAATTTTTACACGAGAAAATTTTGACAGAAGTACAAAATGTTTTGGATCGACATTTCGAGTTTTCTCTCGGCAAATCGTGACGTTATTCTTCACAGGACGCACACGGGTATCTCCAAGCCTGCCATGTACACCGAGAAGCACCAGGAGGACCACAGTCTGTCTCTCTTCTTTAATTCTCTGCAGGAGGAGCAGGCCGGAAAGTACACCTGCAAGGGTATTTATGCGGATTCCCAGTTCTTGAACAAGTCCGTGACAATCGATACCATTAGTAAGTATGGGATTAGAGGAGCGCGATAGAATTTTAATTTCCGAGAGAAATTATATTCCGATATACGAAGCGTCCCGAGTGATATCGAATAGCGTTTAATTAATTTCAAGGCGGAAGCGATACGCGGGAAACGTACATTGTACGTTTATAAAAATCTAGAAAAAAAAAAAAAACGATAACAGAATTTCTCGATTAAAATTCTATCGGAAGCCATGTGTAACTTTTTCCGGTAAAGAAAAAATAGATATTTAATTTTAATCTTTAATAGCCACTGAAAAGCGGTTTTTTTTGTTAGAAAAAGATTTCAATGGAACATTCGGTAAAATTTATATCAGATATAGGATATTTTAAAGCCGGGGTAAATCTATCTTTCTATTATTTCGCATTCAGATGTTATATTTAAAAAATCGATGAATTATTTTTGAAAAAATCTAATCCAATTCTATTTTTATTTATTTAGTTTTCAATTAATTGTCTCATATTTTTAATTGGATTTTTGCAGTTAAATAATTGCAAAAATATATCCAATTAAAAATGTAAAATAATTAATTGGCAAAAAAATAAATTATTTTGTAAAATGAAATTTTACATACTTTTAAATGTCACTTGATGATTTTCCCCCAAGGACGACATATATTTCCCAGCTTTTAATTGTAAACTGAAAAAAAGCTCCACGCAAATTTACAGTTGAATCAGAGATGAAACTTTTAATAACTTTCCTTTAAAAACTATTGACGACAACTATTAATTTGTTGTTAATTTTTGTTAGTTGGGATCACGTGGGACAACGCGCCGCCAAATCAATATCCCATTCTCGGAGAAGACTTTTCTATTATGTGTAAAGTACGAGCTAGGCCTTCGCCATCGGTCGATTGGCTTTATAATGGGGAACTGATAAAGACAAACGACCATTATATCATAAACGCTTACTCCTTGACGATCTCGAAGGTACAGGAATCCGATGATGGCATATACACTTGTCGCGCGTCGGTGCAGACCACGGGAGAATTGCAAGAGCGACTTATCCGCGTTGAGGTATAACTATATTAATTAAGCACTAATTAAACTTCAAATTAAAAATTGCAATGCAAAAATATATCCAATTAAAAATGTAAAATAATTAATTGGCAAAAAAATAAATTATTTTGTAAAATGAAATTTTACATACTTTTAAAATGTCACTTGATGATTTTCCCCCAAGGACGACATATATTTCCCAGCTTTTAATTGTAAACTGAAAAAAAGCTCCACGCAAATTTACAGTTGAATCAGAGATGAAACTTTTAATAACTTTCCTTTAAAAACTATTGACGACAACTATTAATTTGTTGTTAATTTTTGTTAGTTGGGATCACGTGGGACAACGCGCCGCCAAATCAATATCCCATTCTCGGAGAAGACTTTTCTATTATGTGTAAAGTACGAGCTAGGCCTTCGCCATCGGTCGATTGGCTTTATAATGGGGAACTGATAAAGACAAACGACCATTATATCATAAACGCTTACTCCTTGACGATCTCGAAGGTACAGGAATCCGATGATGGCATATACACTTGTCGCGCGTCGGTGCAGACCACGGGAGAATTGCAAGAGCGACTTATCCGCGTTGAGGTATAACTATATTAATTAAGCACTAATTAAACTTCAAGTTTAAGAAAAGAAAAATTGGAATCAGAAGAGAAAAATAAAGAAATATTTCTACAAATCTTTCGGAGTAATTTTTATCTTTAATACACTTCTTATTCCGATGATTATAATTGTCATCTTTTTGTGTCACTAGTTTATTAATATATTTCTCCAATTTAATATACATTAATTTAGATTTAACATACATCGAAATAGATGCGAAGAGAAACTTGGATAAATCTATTTATCTTTAATAATCTGATAAATTTTGCCTAATAATCTTGTTCGATGATTCTCATATAGGTGCACACGCGACCGTCCATCGAGGAGATTTCTAGCCCGATAGACCTCGTCGAGGGCGAGAATGCGAACATCGAGTGCAAAGCCATCGGCAAGCCGTCTCCAACGTTCAGCTGGATCAAGACTCTCACTAAGCAAAATCTCTCCATCACCGATCGCTTTGGGGTCGATCCGATCACGGGTGTGCTCACCATCATCAACGTGAACCGCGAGGACTCGGGCGAGTACCAGTGCAGAGCGGGAAACGCCGCTGGCATAGCCACCGCCAACATCCAGGTGAACGTGATCGTCAAGCCCAAGATCATGGAGTTCCTGAACAAGACCGTGGTGCAGCACAACGACACGGACATCGTGTGCAAGGCCTTCGGCCGGCCGCCGCCCGTGGTGGTCTTCAGGAAGCTCACGGCCGACAGGCAGTACCAGATGGGCTCTCAGCCGCAGGACAATCGGCTCATCATGACGAACAAGGTGAACGAAGCGTCCTGGGAGACGATCGGCATCCTGTCGATCCACAACGCTATCATCAAGGACGATGGCCTGTACGAGTGCGTGGCCAAAAACATGGGCGGCGTCGCTTACAAGAACGGTCACCTGACAGTCGAGTACCCGCCCACCTTCCGTAACATGGCAAACATCACGATCTACTCGTGGGAGCAGCGGCCGGTGAATCTTACCTGCACCGCCGAAAGCATACCGAACGCGACGATTTACTGGGAGAAGCACAACGAAAAAATCGAAGGCGACGACGCGATCCGGGTGATTGGCAGCGGACCGACCTCCACTCTCGAGGTATATCCGAAGGATTACAGGTATTATACCATTTACAAATGCATCGCCACGAATCTTCATGGGTCGCGAAAACACTTGATCGAGCTGAAGGAGGCGAAGAGGCCGAGTGAACTCTTGAACGCCAAAATTATCGAGCAAACTGCCACGTCGATGAAATTCGATCTGGTACCACCGATGTCTCCTGATCTACCCATCGAAACCATCAGCGTCGAATACAGGATATATCCTTTGCAGAATTGGAATCAGGCGCAAAACAGGACGTGGTCTGTCGGTGAGTCTCTGTCTTTTTGGGAAAGCAAGAGAATGTAAAACTGTATCTTTGAAACTACTAAAAACCTGGGCAATTTGAAATTCTACATTTTAATTTCTCCCCTTCAAACATAGCGGGAGTAGCAAATACGTTAACGAGTTTACGCAACTAATTTTACCTAAATTAACGAGTCGGTTAATTCGAATACGCTTTGAAGAGATTTGTCGCGAATTTTTGCTCTTAAATATGTAGATGATAAGTTAATAAGAAACATGGAACTTGCTTTTTATTCATGAGGACTGCGCGAAATAGAAAGGGAAAAATAAAACGGAACAATGTTTAAAATTAATGGCAATTTATGTGTTAAATAGTTGCTTTAAATTGTGAAGGCAGTTTCTCTTGAAATATATAAAACACTGAAAGCAATGCCTCGTACTTTAGGTTCCCTCTACGTCGTCGATAAGTTGAAGCCGTTGACGAATTACGAGTTTCGCTTCGCGGCGAGGAACGACGTCGGTCTGAGTAACTGGGGCACCTACCTCCAACAGACGACGCCTAGCAAGACGGTGCCGAACGAGCCCAAGATCTTGACTGCGTCCGACGCCAAGTACGAGCAGTCGACGTTCAATAACCAGTACGAGCTCAGCTGGCTGACGCCACCCGACAACGGCGAGCCCATCGACATGTATCGTATCAAGTACTGCCAGACAAGACAGGTCTCGGGCGAATGGGAGGTGTTGAACGACACCTGCCTGGAGGACAAGTCCCAGCAGGGTAGGACGAGGCATTATCTGAAGGGCCTGAGCTCCGATACCTTTTACAGGGTCGAGCTGCAGGCTCACAACATTATGGGCTACAGCAAGGCTGGAGTCGCCACATTCAGGACGAACAGAGGTAAGTCCGCGACCTTCGCCAATATGAACTCTCGATGTTCCTTCGATCCAACGTAATTACTGCCATGACGTATCTATATTTCTCTGAATAATTTCCACTCGAGATATATAATTCCCTTTTTGAGATATATATATGTGCACGAAGCTATTGCACCGAATGATATTTTTTTCTTCGCGATCTTTAAATCGTTTGTCAGTTTTTGTCGTCCCTATTTTTTTTTTGTTCGAAAAAAAAAAGAGGGGAAAGGGTAATTTGAGGCCTCTCCTTTCCTCGCCTAAGATGTTTTCGTCTTCAGTTAAACGTTTTATTCTTTTCTCCAGTAATTTTAATTGGTTCTTTGTCGATGGCGAAAACGATCTTGTTATCGCCAGAAAGGCCTGAATGATTTTGTTCGCTCGCTCTTTTTTATCCCCCCCCAAAAATATCTATCATTATTATTTTATAGACACTTTTTTCCAAGGTAAAGATAATTGTTTTTATTTTTTTTTCGTTACAAAACGCACGTCTTACATAGGAATAAATCACTTTTATATCAATACTCGAAACAGTCAGTTTCGATAGATAGTGTGTTATACTTTTGCACGTTACAATCTCTTTATCCTTTGTACGCAAAAAGTGGAATGTTATTTCTGCGAGAGTAGCAAACCCCACGTGGCCATTCTGACGTTAATCAAGGGTTATAGGAATTTGAAGAAGTCCTCAAATCCCTTGAACCTTCACGCAAGGCATCAATTAGCTAAAAGCCACCCAACCGACCGTGGGTTTTTTCATAGAGATGTCAGACATTTTTTTTTCCTTTTTTTTCCACTTCTCTCTCTTTTTTTTTTTTTTTTAACGCCATGACCGAAACTCTCTCTCGACTGGAAGACGGGGAAGATTTTTTTTACACAGAGCCTTTTTATCCATTCAGAATCTGCGGGCATCACTGTGGACTACACAGTAATATCTGCTGCTGGTGATACTCGCAAGATCGCCGTCGCCGCCATTACCGCAGCAGTAATTCTCCTATCTCTAGCCATTTAGAGTCGCCGTAAGGAATATTTGCTCCTCGCGCGCTAATCCTGAACCGTCGTGATCGCACGCGTGAACGAAGGCGAGGCGAATTCGTGGACAAGTACAAGCGAGAGACACCACGGATGGATGAGAAAGAGAGATACGCACGTTCTATTAATGTAGCATACAATATCAAGCATTCGTGATTTCCTGGCGAGTCTCGCGTTTCGTTCGAATCTGATGGGAATCGGACGAGAGTCGAACGCGAATCTCGGCGAGATATTTAGCGCGGGAAACGACGACCAAAGTTAATCGCGCGACATTTATACACACACATACACGCAATTGCGTCGTTCATTTACATCCATTTAGCGTTTAACGGAGGAGGCCGCCAACAACGAAGAGCTGAGGGGGCAAAAGATCACATTCCGAGGTAGCGTTTAAGTAGGGTTTTATATAAGAAAGACAGAAGCGCGCGTGTGTGCGAGAGAAGGAGACCCACGAAGCGAAGCGTATATTTATGCTGATTATTTGTTATAAATGCGTTCATTGTGTCTAGTGTAAACGTACTGGTAGGTTTTCCTCCTCGTCGTTTTTTTCCTTTCCGGATGTTCGAGCCTCCGGGCTCTACACCCTTTTTGGGTGGCTCTTGTAAGTGACGGATGCGACTCAGCTGTTCGTCGTGGTGCGAGGGAACTCAGGTGACCAAAACGATAACGTATATTGTATCTCAGTTTATAATGTCTCGTCTTGTGCACAAACGCGTTATAATTTCTATTTTTTTTGTTAATTAAACATTCAGATTGACCTTTTCCTCGATACGCGGAGAGTTGAGAGGTATTTATAAGTCACTGACGATCTTCAGATTCTTGCAATTTACAAACTTTTGTATGTGCTGTTATATTATAGCGATAATTCACGAAAAGAATGTGCTTCCTTATATATATATATATATATATACGTACGTCGGTTCGATGCGTGAACGATTTATATCGAATGGATGTCTGGCTTTATACGAGCGTGAGACCACGAGGCAGCGAGACAGGTGTACCAAGGGTGCTACTGCCCTCGATTGCCAACGATTCGCGCCAAGCTCGGCGACGAGAGCGGAAAAGTCGATATTAAAAGGCGAGCAACCGCGATGAAAATCGCGACGACTCCGTAAATCACGCGAAATGCAATCCTCGTCTCGAATGCCTGCAATCGGAGCACCAGAACCGTTTACCGAGTTTGCATCAATTAATGCGCACGCCGGGAAACCTTGTTTCACGTGTCTTTTTGGCGATCTGATTTTTTTTCCTCGAAGAGGAAGTCGATAATGAACGTTTTAAAAAGACGATAAGGGGAACGCGACGCAGAAGGAAGAGAGAGAGAGAGAGAGGGACAATAGAGCGATTAAGGAAACTCGAGTACCTGGGACTACTCGGCCGATCCATCATGGGGCTGTCGGGGGAAAAAAAAAAAAGAGATTAATCGAGTTGTACAATGCATAAGAAACGCGATAAGAACCGAGTACGGTCCTTTACATGATAGCGGGAGGGGGTGGACGGCAGGAAAAAATCCGTTTTTATCGAAGAATACCTGTCGACGAGGCGGGAAGTCTCTCCCGCTCGAGTCGACGACGCCCTCGTGACTCGCATCCGTGCGACATTCTTTCGCGGGCCAAAGAATCTCACGCGAACGAGCGAAAATCCCTCCTTGCACAAGGGAGGATCCGGGAACCTTAATTCTAGAACCCGACTCTATTCGACCTGTCAGCGCGATCATAGATTTCAAGTGGTAGAAGTCTTTGACATTTTGCGAAGCTAAAGTTTGTTTGCACTTTTCACACGGAATTATTTTGGAAGTTTTTTTTTTTATTTTAGAAATATAAATTTTTTAAAAATATCTTATATCGAGATTATAAAGTATTATAATAACGGCTGATTAGAGTATATTTGCGCTGTTTTACATGTATGGAAAAATTAAATACGTTCTTATAAAAAATGTTTTTTTGCACTTTTCACACGGAATTATTTTGGTAAAGTTTTCTTTTATTTTAGAAATATGAATTTAAAAAAAATATTTTATATTGAGATTATAAAGTATTATAACAGCTGATTAGCGTATATTTCGGCTGTTTGACATGTATGCAAAAATTAAATACGTTCTTATGAAAAATATTTTTTTTGCACTTTTCACACGGAATTATTTTGGTAAAGTTTTCTTTTATTTTAGAAATATAAATTTTTTAAAAATATTTTATATCGAGATTATAAAGTATTATAACGGCTGATTAGAGTATATTTGCGCTGTTTTACATGTATGGAAAAATTAAATACGTTCTTATGAAAAATGTTTTTTTGCACTTTTCACACGGAATTATTTTGGTAAAGTTTTCTTTTATTTTAGAAATATGAATTTTAAAAAAATATTTTATATCGAGATTATAAAGTATTATAACAGCTGATTAGCGTATATTTGGGCTGTTTGACATGTATGCAAAAATTAAATACGTTCTTATGAAAAATGTTTTTTTTGCACTTTTCACACGGAATTATTTTGGAAAGTTTTTTTTTATTTTAGAAATATGAATTTTAAAAAAATATTTTATATCGAGATTATAAAGTATTATAACAGCTGATTAGCGTATATTTGGGCTGTTTGACATGTATGGAAAAATTAAATACGTTCTTCTGAAAAATGTTTTTTTTTTTAATATTTACTCAAAGTAAAATCTCATTGCAAACAATTAATTATATAAAGATTATATAAAGATTCGCGAAGTGGAAGCGCGTTCTCGACTCGACGAGGTCGAGTTCTAGGATTAATCGCGCGGCAAAATTTGAGAGAGTCCGCACAAACGATGACTCACACGACTGGCACAGACTGGCTCTAATTAAAATTCTTTCAGTTGGATTGATTTCAGTGTGATTGCATATGATTTTTCTCTCCTCTCTTGCCTTTGATTTTTTTTTTTGTAATTTTTACTTTTCTGGGAAAGCTCGTGCAGTCATTAGTTTCGCTTGACTAGTTTTTCAGATACGTGTTTAGTGTGCGCATGATCTGTGTGTTGCGATATATCATTACGATTATACGATTCTCTTATTACATTTACATTATAATTATCAACTCTTATTATTATCATTATTATTATTATTATTACCGTAGTTTTCTCTTCTGTATTTTACATAATCGCCGCTACCGACAATAGCCGCAACTTACCGCCTAATTATTATCATTAGAAGCCACTGTCGTGATTAATTAATTACTAATTACTCGGGCGAGATGAGAAAAGGAATCGAGAGCGATTTAATTCCGACGAGTTCAATTTTCAATGAGACACTAAAATGCCATTTTCGAGTCAAACTGGAGCAGAGTTAAATAAGGATTGCTCATTCAAATGAAGCATTGAGTGTCCTGTTTTTTTTTTCCCTCCAATTTACAGGATTATAAAAAAATTTAATGATTAAATGATTAATATTTTTTCCACTTGTTTCTTTGTTACTGCAATTATTCCGATCGACGTTAAAGTATCGCTGGCTGGCCGTATCCTGTCGGGAATTGAACTCGGCGGAATTATGCAGTCTCGATCCCTGGATAAAGAGACTACAAAAGGAACGCGGTTCGATCTCGAAGGCCTGGTCGTATCCGGGCGGTCGTCTCTTACCTCAAGTGCCTGTAACCACACGCGTACAATACGCACACACACACACGCACACACACACGCGCGCGTACACGCATACGTTGACCCTGAGGCTCCCTGAGGCTCGCGCGAAAAACACCGACGATCGATCTCGATGTGACGAGGTCTTCGACCCGTGTATCCTCTCACTCTCTTGTCCCTTTTACTGTCTGTTCGCAAATGCCTGGGTTCCTAGATATTAGCCCACAACGCATGGCATGCGCTTTATTATCGTTACCATCCCCCTATCTCATCCCTTCCCCTCCCCTCCCTGTTTTTTTCTCTTTTTTTTTCTTAGCAATGCGCCGAGTTCCACTCGGCGGTGTTCCCGATTCGCGTGCGA